TCAACTCTGTTACATTATAGAAGGAAGCTTCACGGACGTGAAACATCAATCTGTGGATCTGTGTTTGATTACTCTGGCTGACTTTCTCAAGGACCAGGATGTGTGACACAAAAATCTGAATTATGGAACTGAAAGTGAAAGTAGTCAAACTGAAAATTTAATAGAGCAAAATACAGTTTCAAAGCAAATGAATTCAGACACAAAACTTTAAATTCAGTTTCAATTTAGTAAAAAAAAAAATTCAAACCACTGCTTTCAATTTCAAATTATGCACATCCAGATTCAGTCTGAGCAATTAAAACTGAATTCCTGCTGGCACAAGATTTATTCTGTATACGTGCGGCAAACACTCAAATCTGAAAACGCGCAGCACAAGGCGCGCCTCGACACTTCTTGAAGTCCATCATTGACTGCCCCTGACACATAAATCTCATTAGGTTTGAATGCAGCACAAGGCTAAATGCACCTTTGTTTAATTCCATGAAAGTTAGAATGTTACRAAATATAAAAACAGAAGGCAGTGATTTGTAAACTTTACTGACCTGTATTTATTTCACAAGGAAACGTATTAAACACATCAAATGTTAAAACACAGAAATTGTTCCAATTTCTTCAAAAAGGCTGTGAAAGTAAATAGTATTAATGAAAACAGCTGGAGAACTATTTTGCAACTAATTGGCAAATCAGGTCACAAGAGGACTGGGCAGTGGTGGGCACAATTAACCAAAAAGTTAGCTTCACTTCATTRCAGCGTGAATTATTTAAAAAAATGAAGAGATCTATCTAATTGGCTAAATACACAAAGGGCTCCATTTGATTGGTGAATGGAAGTCAGAATAATAAAGCAGAAGACCAGCTGAATCTCTTCTAAAGAGGCTTTATTCTCGTCAGCAAGCCTCAGCGTAAAATGATCTTCATCTTCTCTGAATATGAAAACAGCCCAGACTGAACCTAAAGAGGGACTGCATACAAGCACTAACAAAAGCTCTCTCTCATATAATGATGATTCAACTTTTTAACATGTGTCACTTCTTGGTTACACCCTTGAAGGTGCTAGCTCTTACGTCRGACCTTAACGTAACTAGGCCTGTCGCGATAGTCAATAAATCAATTAATTGCACGATAAGTTATTTTGAGGTCAGTAAAAAAAATGAGGACGATAAGTTTCATTTTCCTGCATGTTTGTTTACTTCGTCTCTCTCCCTC